CTGCTTATCTGCAGCCTGCATTCCTGCCCATTTCAGTGGTGGTTATTCCAGAGCTGGACCTTGGCAAAATTTTGAAGTAGACAAAGTGTTTCCTTGAGGGGTCTTCCTGCTTGCCTTTTAGGGTACACATCCCCACCCTCAGAAGGGAATCTTAGGGCTACCCATGTCATAATACTTCACCTTTTCTAGTCTGCTCTAACCCTCGTATTCCCTGCCTCATCCCATCCCTCCTCCCTACATTTATCAGAATTTATGGAATGCTCTGCTAGGTGCTGAAGCAAATCCAGGAGAGACGTCGGATGGTGCAGGGAGAAGCTGCTGCCGTGACAGACCTGTGCGTTCGTGCTGGGAGAGGGTGGCAGGGAGGTCTTGGCTCTGTGGTGTCTCTGCAGCCGCCACTCTCCCCTAATTCAGCGTGTGAGCCAGCCTGGTGCCTGAAGCTGGGGTAAGGGCACCAAAGAAGTGCCTTCACAAAGGACTGTGGAGGGCAGCTTTGTGCTTCCCAACTGGCCTCTCACCCACTTTGCCCTGCTCCCGAACCAGCACAGGCGGAGCAGGCAGTGATGCAGATGCCCCCAAAGATATGTCTCCCCAGATTCCCTGTTCCATCACGTGTTCCCCTGGGGCTGCATCTCCCCACACCGGGCCTCTAATGGGGCTTTGATAAGGGGACTGGGGGAGAGGACAGGGATTCAGAAAGGATACTGTGGGGAAGGTTGGAGAGAAGGAATAAAAATAACAAGCCTTTACTGAGCACTTACCGTATGCCTGCACTGCAGTACTAAGTACTTGCCAGGTATTAACTCATTTGATGTTCCTGGTGGCCCCATGACCAGGTGATATATCATTATTCCCATCTACAGAGGAAGGAGCAGGTAAGCTCAGAGGCTGGCCCAGGACCACACAGACATGCATGCAGCTGGCATCTGAACAGACACAGCCTCACTCCAGAACCCCTTTTCTCAAATACTCTGTCATGTTGCTGTCCCTGGTCTCTTGCCGGCTTGGGCAAATAGTCTATCACATTATCTGAGTTGAGAAAGGAAGACAGACAACAGTCCAGCCTCACCCTGGAGATCCTGATGCAGCTGGTCTAAGAGAGTGACCACATTTTTAAAAGGGGAACCCCAGGGTGCAGCCACTGGTCTAAACCAATCCCCACCCAACAGCACCCCCTGGTTTGTCAGGCCAGCTCATAAACCCCTGCACCCTGAGAGAATGAACTAAGATGAGACTGTGCCCATGCGTGCTGAAGGGATCCCTGCAGGACAGGTTGTGAGTGGGCAAATGGGGAGGGGGGGTAGGGAGCATTGAAAGAATGGGCTGGCAAATGGAGACACTGGATATGATTTGGGGCTCTATTTCAGAACTCTGTTTTAGGATTGTTCTGCTGCAAAAGATTCCATCCAAATAGTTGAAGGGTCCCTTCCTCAGTCAGTAACCAGTCAAGTGAGGAGAGGTGAACATGCCGCACAAGATGACTTGAAAGCGTTAGCAGAGCTGCAGTGAGCTGAGGCAAACCCAGTCTCCTCAGACCTGGGACTCACTGAGAATAGGGCTTACTAGGAAGAGCTTTTGGGAAGACAATTTTTGAGCTGGGTTTGGAAAGTTAGGAACAGTGCGTCTACAAGATAAAAGAAAGGATTGCATCTCAAATGCAAAAAATGAGAAGTGCAAATGTGTGGAAAGGAATTGAAGGGTTTGGTGTTGCAGAGGGCAAGTGTCATGTGCCGAGAATGGGTGGGGGTGGGTTAGACGGCAGGAAAAGCCCAACTGCCCAAAGGGTCTAAAGGCTCGTCCAGGAGGCCCGGGTTTGCTGCATTCAGCATCAGGATCCACTCTAGTACCTGCAAGCACCGAATCAACAGCAGAGGAGAGAACCAGGAGCAGATGTGGACTGTTGTAAAGCCCCAGATGATTCAGAGACAGGTGGATACCTCTAAGATGGCCCCAGAGGAGGAGCTTCCCGATGAGTTTCCAAGGTGCCCTGCTGGCTGCTGGGGAAGGGATGGAGAAGCACACGAGGGGCTCAAAGCAGGGTAACAGGATGGTTATTAGTCACTGGGATTGCCCTGTGCTCTGCTCCTGCCTCTGAGACTCACAAGGGTTACCAGAGTAGAGAGGAGACCTGACAAGAACATCTCCAACTTTGGATTCCAAGATTGGTATTAGTTGTTAAAAGATATTTTCTCCACCGTGGGGGCACATGCAAATAAACGTGGGGACAGAGAATAAGGACTTGGACCTCAGAGTGCCTTGTCTTTCTTCATGCACCTAACTACACTTGAAATTTCCTTTCCCCTCTAACGCTTACCCAGCTTCCAAAACTCAAACTTGAGTCCCACTCCAAAGAGTTTTTTTGGCCTACTTAGGCCCAGGGTATTTCTCATTCAGAACTCCTAGAGATGAATAAGGTTCCAATAGAACCTCCTGTGCTGTTGGAAACATTCCATACCTGTGCTGTCCACTGTGGTAGCCTTTAGCCACATATAGCTACTGAGCATTTAGCCTGGGGCCGAACTTTAAATTAATTTAGATTTAAAATACCCCATGTAGCCCAGGTTGGGTGCATGAGACAAGTGCTCAGGCCTGGTGCACTGGGAAGACCCAGGGGGATTGGGTAGAGAGGGAGGTGGGAGGGGGGGATCGGGATGGGGAATACATGTAAATCCATGGCTGATTCATGTCAATGTATGACAAAAACCACTACAATATTGTAAAGTAATTAGCCTCCAACTAATAAAAATAAATGAAAAAAAAAAATACCCCCATGTACCTAGTGGCTACTATCTGAGACAGCATAGTCTTAGAGTACCTATTGTCTGAACCAATGATTTTATACTTATCATCTCAAGCTTCCATGTATTAGGAACCTAATATTTACTAAATACTTTATTAGGTACTTTACACAAATTATCTCATCAACTGTTCACAGCCTCTCATGAGAAGGCAGCCCTACATTAAAGATGAAGAAATAAGAGAATCGGAAAACCCTCCCTATTGAGTGGCAGGGCTGAATTTGAATTTGGGACTGAACTAATTCCAGAACTTAGGCTCTTTCTACAATAGGGTGTTTCTTAGTACCACTTTCTCTTCATCAGTTGGACAGACTGATTCTCCATGCAGCCTCTTACTGTCTACAGAGGTCCCTCTTGCCCTCTCCCATGAACTAGAATTCTGTGACCCCCTCCTCTCCATCCATTCACTTTGGGGTAACTTCCTAGGGTGGACCAGCAGGCAGACACCATCACTGCAGAGCCTGAGGGAGGTGAAGAATAAATAAATGTGAATTACAGCAATTAAATCACTGGGTGTGGTGGGCTGTGCAGAGGGGTCAAAGAGAGTTGGAGGGTAGAGTGCAGAGCTGAACAGAAGCCCAGAAGACTTGAGGCAGGTGTTTGAGAGCACTCTTCCAAATTTCAGTTCTCTTCTTAGCCCTAGGAAGCCTCAGTCCTGCCTCTGAAGTACTTGAAATAAAGGAGAACAGATAACTGTTTCAAGCTAGGACTCATGGGTGTCTAAACATTGGAGCAATTACTGGTCATTCATTCATTCAGTAAAAAATATATCAAGCACCTTAAGGATTTAGATTCAGTAGGTCAGCAATCGAGCCTTAGAACCTGCATTTTAACAAAAGCTAAGCAATTATGTGGCCCACAGATCACACTTGGAAGTTATGATCATTTTCTGCAAGTAAAAGAAAAAAAATTTTTTTCTTGCAGGTTGCTACACTATCCTGGGTTTTCCCAGTTCACAGCTGGAAGTGGTCTCTTCCTTTTCTGATCTTCTCTATAGTGGGGATTCTCAAGCCTGGCTGCATATTAGACTTACCTAGGTAGCTTTAGAAGCCCACTGATGACCACATTTCAGCCCAGACCAGCTGACCAACATTTCTGGGGGTGGCACTTTGGCATCTCCTAGGGGATTTGACTCTGATGTGCAGCCCCTTTCCTTATTCTAATGCCCTCGTGGCACTCAAACATATCCTGCTTCGTGTTACTCATGTGTTTCTCCTCTTGGCTGGGCTGAGTCATCTCTGAACCGCCACAGCCTTTAGTTATAAAGCATTTTGGCTGAAACATTTCCCCCTATTTCAGTTCAGCTTTATGGGCATCATAACATTGCCCCAGAAGCTGCAGTCTTTTGCCCAAAGGTGATAAATTATTCTCTCTCCTGTGTCCTTTCTGAACATCGTCCAGGTCTGGGGTGGCCCCTTCTTCAGCGTAGCTCTGTGAGTAGCACCTTGTGTCAGAGCGAGGTGCACCTGGGGTTAGATGAAAGCACTCGGGGTGGCGGGATGGATGGGCCTGGATGAGTCAGCTGGAGAGCTGCAAAGACTGCACTTATCAGGCTTTGGGTTGCTGGTGCCAGCCCCTGCCAGCTCCTAGTCCCTCCACTGTTGACAGCACAGGGGCCTCGGCAAATCTTCCGGGATGGAGCTTCTTTCCTTTAAAGATTCTTGGCGCCATGGTGGGCAAGTGGGAGCAGGCCTGGTCTCAAACAACTGTGAGGCAGAGAAAGATTCCTCAGATGCCCCGTCTCCCTTTCCTCCTCCTTTAATTACCAGCAGTCACTGGACACTGCCACTTGCCCAGAGGCCACTGTCCTCATGCCTTTCTCTGCCCCTCCCTCTAAGCCTGCTTCTCAGAAAGGTAAACTAATTCACCCTAGGTTGAAAGTTTCTAATCAAGTTAAGTGTGTTACCTACCCAGTCCAAGGGTTTTTTGTTTGTTTTTAAACCAAAGAGGAGTGTTTCAAATGATGGAATTTCAGTTGTCATTATGGATTAAGTATTTTTGAGGGGAGTGGGGGTTCTTTCTGAATTCCTGAAATTACAGGGTCAGCCCACTCTGAAGTCAGAGAGGTGTGGGAGGCCACCTGCTTCTGGAGGGGTTGCTGTCTATTGTAGAGGAGAGGGGATTTTGCCCCGAGGAACTACCTTCAAGACACCCCTTGGGAGGCACCGAGAGGGTCTCACACGTCCCTTCTGCCCCTGCCAGATGTGGACGAGTGTGTGGAAGGGACCGACAACTGCCACATCGACGCCATCTGCCAGAACACCCCACGGTCGTACAAGTGCATCTGCAAGTCTGGCTACACGGGGGATGGTAAACACTGCAAAGGTGAGCCTGGGAGGGTACCTGGAAAAGGGGGAGCTGCCAGAGGGGGAAGCCGTGCCCCCGCTCTCAGTTGGCCACGCTGTGCACGAAGCCCTGCACTCCCTGCTGGTGTGGAGACAGGGCTAGAGGAAAGCAGCTCCTTCCCAGAGAGGGTATCGCTTTCTAATTTGCACAAAGACACCATATATACACGCTCAGGCCCGGGTGGGAACAGTTCACAGCCATACAACCTGACTGGGTGAGGGGATCAGGATCACGGGACTAAGGCCTCAGGTTCCCTGCTATTGGAACCTCTGTCTTTAGACCCTTACACCATGCCCAAAGAGAATGAGAACAGACAATTTACCCTAGGGCAAGTTCATACTATAAACAAACACATCTCCTCATAATTAAAGCAATGCAAATTAAAGCAGTCTTGAGATGTTATTTTAAATTTATGACCTTCTGTGTTGGTTAAGACTTCAATAGACAAGGTATACTCATTAATTCCTGGTGACAATATAAATTGAAAAGTGATTTTGTCATACCTAGCAGGAATCTTGAAGTCATTTATACCCTCCAACCCAGGAATTTCGTATTTAGGAACTTATTCAAAGGAAATTCAAAGAAACAATATACAAGAGATTTTTTTCATGCATTTATGAGAGAAAAATAAATGGAAGGAATCTAACAATAGAAAAAAGGGATTAATAAGTTATGATGTAGCAACATAATGGAATATTTTGCAACCATGTCCAGTGATAATTGGAAAGATCTGATGGAAATGTAAAAATGTTTATGACTGAAGTTTAGATGAAAATAGCTAAATGCAAAATAGTTTGTAGGCTATGAAAGTAACTATGGAAACAGAGATACATACAAGCACATACACACACACAGAGGTTTTATATTTTTTAAAAAACCACCATAAAGCTGAGCCCAGGGCACGCAGGTGGGTCCAGCTGCCTCAACTATTTGCCCACAGATGTGGATGAGTGTGAACGGGAGGATAATGCAGGTTGTGTGCACGACTGTGTCAACATCCCTGGCAATTACCGATGCACCTGCTATGACGGATTCCACCTGGCACATGACGGACACAACTGTCTGGGTGAGTGAGGGTTGAAGGGATGTGGGCAGGGGATGTCTTGTGGAGAAGGAGATGTTTTCAGCATTTCCCATTCTCAGGCACTAGAGGAAAAGTAAACGAAAAGCTGCATTCCCACAAAATAGAAAACAAGGTCAGCCTCCCCTTTGAGACAAGATGCTGAGGATGAAAAAATCCTTCTGAATGAAAAACATTAAAGAGATGCTGCTCGAAAATGTTCTCAGGGGAAGGGCCAGGAGATGACAATAGTGGGCTTAGTCACACCGGGTGGAGCATGGTGGGAAGGTGGTTTGGCTCCAGACAGATCCTGGCTCTGCTGCTTGCTCGCTGTGCAGACTTGGGCAACAGGGGTGGTAATAACCACCCAGAGGGCTGCAGTGTGATGACACAATGTGTGTAAAGAGCCTGTACCATCCTTAGGACATGGTAAGTGCTCAGAAAACAGGAGGAATGATGATGATGAACCTTAAGGTTAGGGTTCAAAGTCTTATTAACCTTTAGCTTTTAGGGGAACCCTGTATAAGTCATCCATGCCCTGGGCCTCAGTTTCTCCACTGCAAATTGTAGGAAAGAACTTGGCTAGAGTCACAAAATCACAAGGTTGGACTAGAAGGGAGCAAACAGAAGGGCGGAATGTAGGACAGCATCAGATAGGAAGGCAGGGATGGGGAGAAGTCAGGGGCGTAGGAGATGGGACGCGAACAAGGCAAACCAGGGACGCCTCCGTGGCTTTTCCTCCAGGCGCACTTCTCAGGCAGGAGCCTGCTAGGTCTGGGCCCCTCTGCCCTTGGCCAGAAGAGTGAAGGACAGGGTTTCGGGGCTCAGCAGAGAGGAGGGGAAGAGAAGGCCCTAAGGAGTCAGGTTCCTTTGGAGCTAGACTGGTCCATTTGGGTCCCTCTCCCTGATGCCTCCTGCACCAAGGAAAACAGAGAAGGACTATGAACTTAGGAGGGTAGTAAGGAGCATGAGATGGAGTCAGAGCATTGAAACGGGAGCCCCGGGATGAGCCTGAGGATGGTGATTTGGGGTTGGTAATTAGGGTGTGGCCTGGCAGCTCTTTCCCCATCCCTCTCCGCCAAGCTACCAGACTTTGTTTTGTTAAACCAAAATAGGAGAAAGGCTAGGGAATGTGGCAGCAAGCCCAGGCATGGGAGGAAGGGAGGAAGGACAGGGCCATGGTCCCTCCTCAGAAGTGGTCCCTGCCCCACAGTGAGTTGAGGCTCACTACCTTTCCCCACCTGCCCCCTCCAACCTCAGCACCATTGCCAGAGCTCTCCCCGCACACAGAGCCCTGACTCCCTGGCTGCTCATCACAACCAGCTGCTCACAGGTCTTGCCCCTGACCAACCTCCATCCTTGTCTTCATCTCTGCTCCTCTCGCTCTGCCTCCTTTGCTGATCTCCTCTGCCTTCAGACCCAGTTCCAACAGGTGAGGGAAAAAGAGGCATGTCTTCCTGAGTGGGCCATTCTCTCATGTCCCCGCCCCACTCGCCGCCCCCTGAGGGTGGCAGTGGGATGTGAGAACTGCCTGGCCTCTGGCTGGATGCTGGATTTCAGGGGAGGCCTGGCTGCACTGACAGCCTCACCAGCCACCTGTCCCGCGCAGATGTGGACGAGTGTGCTGAGGGCAACGGCGGCTGTCAGCAAAGCTGTGTCAACATGATGGGCAGCTACGAGTGCCACTGCCGGGAGGGCTTCTTCCTCAGCGACAACCAGCACACCTGCATCCAGCGGCCGGAAGGTCAGCCTGTGGCTGGAGGGCGTGGGGGGTGGGGGCGCGTCCCCGAACCACCATGCTTCTCTCTCCGTCTGCTCAGGAGCTCTCCCTCAGTAACCCCAGGTTTCCCTCCGCTGCCCCTTTTGTCCCTGAACCAGTCATACGCTAAGGGCTCTGTGGACAGATGCTCTGGCTTAGAGTGAAATCTGAGAGAATTCACTTGGGGCTGGGGGTCACGGAGGGATCGAGGCTACCGTGGGATATCCTCTGCGTCCAGATCTAAGGTGGGTTTGCTCCTCACTGTAGAGCATTGACCAGAAAGTTCACTTGGGCTTTTCCATAAGATGCTATAGAAAAACCCAAATGAACTTTTTTGCCAAGCCCGATAGACGGCTGAACCCTAAACTGAGGTCACCGGACGGCGCCCATGCCTTATTCCTTGGGTTGGGCTGGAGCTTCAGGCAGGAGTGGTGGGGCACGTGTTGTCTCTTTCTGTGACTCTGCCATCACCCTCCCACCCCTGCCCACCCCCAAGGGCAAAGACTAAGCCTAATTTATCTTTGTATCCCTAGAACCTAATATGCTGCCCTGGTTGTAAGAGGAGCTTAATAAATATTTGTTGAATAAAATGCATAATAATGACCTGTGCCAATTACTCCTCACTCATGTAATAAATGTTATTTATCTTCTTCCCAGTTTGACTGTAAACTCTTTGAGAAAAAGAGATCATGTCTTGTATTTTTCTGGGTCCTTTCTAGATCTACCCAGTACAAGCCCAATGCTGGGCAACTATTAGACACTATTTTTTAGTTGCTTGAAGGAGAGGGTGATCATGTAGAGTTTAGGGGGCCTGGATGTATCATTCAGAGTAGCTATGAGCTCTGCTCATTAACACCAGTTTGGTAGCCAGGAAGGGGGCCTGTGAGGGGGAGAGTCAGTCTCCTCTGTGCTGCAGCCTTGGAGAAATTGTCCCAGTTCCTGAGGCCCACGGCTTTCCTTCTAGTTTCTCTTCCTCTAGGGGCTCAGGGGCATAGCACATTCACCCCCACCCTCCTCTTCCCTTTTAGAAGGAATGAACTGCATGAACAAGAACCACGGCTGTGCTCACATTTGCCGGGAGACACCCAAAGGGGGTATTGCCTGCGAATGCCGCCCTGGCTTCGAGCTCACCAAGAACCAACGGGACTGTAAATGTGAGCTGACTGGGATGGCAGTGGGGGAGGAGGGGCGTGGGGCCTCGGCAGCAGGAGTGGGAAGAGATGGGTGCAGGAGAGGCAGCTAGCTTCGAGGGCCAGTTTCTGCGTTACAGAGAGCCGGGGTGCCCAGGGGCGGCAAGCTGACAGGCCCCCTGCCCTCTCTGCAGTGACATGCAACTACGGCAACGGTGGCTGCCAGCACACGTGCGACGACACGGAGCAGGGCCCCCGGTGCGGCTGCCACGTCAAGTTCGTGCTCCACGCCGACGGGAAGACGTGCATCGGTGGGTGAGGCCGCGGAGAGCTCAGTGCACTTGCAATGGGGGCTGGGGGAGGGGGAGCACTGAGGCGGGGCTCAGGTGCTGCACTAGGAGCATTGAGGAGCGGGCTGAAGCCCCCAGACGGTGGCAGGTCTAGTGAGTGATGACTCAGAGTGAAGGGCTCGCCTGCCCTTCCTCCTTCCCCACCCCTTGGTTCTGCACCCCCTACCCCGGGAGCCTCGCCATCCTCTTGATGCAGGATGAAGTGTTGGCAGGTTGCGAACTATCAGCCGAAGTGCCTGCTGACCCAGGCTGTGGTGGAGAAGGGGGAGAAAAGATGGGGCAGTTGGTGAATTAAGCCTGACCAGAGGCCCTAGTTAAGTAGTGTGGTGAGATGAGAGCTGTCACAGCCCACTGTCCACACTCAAGGGTGGGGCAGAGTGTCCTTTCCTGGGACAAGACAAGTGGGGTTGCCTGGCTCCAGTATCTTCCTCTTTCTTCTGTCTCTCCTTGCTCTCCTCCTACAAATCTCCTTTCCAGGCCTCCCCCCAGGCCCTCATGTTCTCCTCTCTTCCTCCATATTCCAGTGGAGCTTTGTCTAGGGTCCTCCCATTTCTTCTCCAACTCTAGAATTCCACCCTCTCACCCTGACTCGGGGTCTTCCTAATGCCTGGACCCCTTTTCCTGAATTCCTGGGCCTTACCTCACATATCTTTAGGTCCATAGATGAGTTCAGTTCTTTGATTCCTAATTTCCTAAATCTTCAGGGGTGTGTGTGTGTGTGTGTGTGTGTGTGTGAAGGACAATTACTATGTGCTTACAGAGTGCTGAGAAAGATGATGGGACAAAATGTCCCCTTGGCAAAGTGGAAATGAAAGCAGAGAGTGTGGGCAGGGGGAAAGGCTGTGTCTTAAGCTGGGCAGAGGCAAGCTTGTCCTGTGTGGTGTTTATGAATGGCCATTCATCTCATGGGCTGTAACATGCTGGGGATGGGAAGGTGTGAACACAGTCATTTGGTGTATTTATCAGAGACAAGACATTCTGTTTCAGAACCAGCCTGTCTCCCATCTCACTCCAGAAACCCCTTTGTCTCTGTAGAGAGCACTGCCTTTCCACCAGACACAAGGACTGGGGAGCAGGTGGGGCTCTTCAAGGCCTCCCTCAGGTACCTGCTCCAGAGACTTGCACACACAGTTCTAAAGTTCCTTAATTAAACTCTCTCTTGCTACATGTTTCCCTCTGAACTAACTCTCTTAAATCTTGGAACATTTTCGGGTCCTCATGTTGCCTTCTCAAGGCTGGTTTGTTCCACCTCCATTCATTTTTTCCCTCATAAGTCTAATTCTTCTGCTTTCCAAACCTCCTGCGATGCCCTGGACACACTTACACACCCTTAGAGACTCCCAGAAGAAACTGCATGCAGTCCCCAAAGAAAAGCTGCATGTGTCACGACGGGGCCATGGATGGGAGGCCGGTGCCTCTCTGATGTTCTTTCTGTTTAGATAGTCCTGGGCATGGCTGCTTTGAACATACTCCCATTAAGCTTGAGCTCTGCTATAATGCAAGACCCATCCACCCTCTGGGCCATGGCCAAGTGAGGCAGAAGAGAGCAAATGGGGCTGTTCTAAGGTTCTATGTCTTTTTCAAGTTCCTCTCCCTCTTCTCCAGAAGAACTTATTTTACCTTGACCTGTATCTCATTTTTCTCCCCAGCCCTGGTAGGAGGAAACATCATCATTTGGGGCCATTGGGACGTTCAGATTTAGTGGGGAGACTGAGAGGGCAGTGCAGTTTAGCAGTAAGGGTGGGCGCCCTCTGGGATTTGGGATTCGGCAGCTTGTAAGATTTGAGGTTGCATCCCAGCTCTACCTCTGGCATGCTGTGTAGTACTGGGACCATGACTGCCCCTCCCCGAGACTCCGTTTCCCACCAGTTGCTTGGTGGGAGCCTGGCTTCTTTGAGGGTACCAGGCAGGGTGAGGCTGGGGAATAAAGTGTAGGAGTCTCAGAGCTCATCATTCGGGGCCAGTGGTTTGGGCCTGCAGGGTGGAGGGGAGGGGGGGCGGTTGGGGCTCAGAGGGCCACAGTAGCTCTGCCTAGCGTCTAAACAGCTTTTTTGCAATGTCAAACAGGGGAAAGGCGGCTAGAGCAGCACGTCCCCCCTCAGGCCGTTTCTAATGGTAAATATGTCTGCTCTCTCCGCTTGCTCTCACTGGCTTGCTAGGGGAAGGGCTAACCCTCTGGGGCTCCCACTAACCGCATGCCCACTGGGCCCAGCCGGACTGGGCTCCCCAGCAACCTGAGCGCTGGGCCCATCAAGTGACAGGAAACCTGAGTCCCCAGGAGCTGGCCCAGAAGCCTTCATGTTGGTTTTCTTTCTGCAATCCTGTCACTCTCCTTCTCTCCTTCCTCTCATGTTCCTCTGTCCCACCTTCTTCCTCACCCAGCTTCTAACACCTCCCCACTTCCCAACTATCTGCCGCACCCCTCCTTCTACACAGCTGAAGACCGCGCCAGCTCCACGCAGCCAGCATGCCTGCTGTGCCACCTGAGATCAGGGTGGGGTAGGGTTAGGTGCCATCCCGTCCTTAGGGTCTCTTTCTTGGGTTCTTACCTGTGTTAGCTCACAGTCCCGCACCCCTCGTCCTTCTCTCCCACCATAACGGTTCAGTGCACGACATGTGAGTTCAGACAGACCTGAGCTTGAGTCCCGGCTCTGCCGCCTTCTAAGTGTGCCTCCTTAAGCAAGCTCCTCTCTGGTCCTCAGCTTACTCGTCTATAAAAGAGGGAGAATGAGAGTCCTCTCAGTGTTCCTGTGATAATGGAGATAGCGCGCTAGAGCATCTACTAAGTGCCTGACACAGAATAAGCACAGATTAAACCGTGATTTTAATACACGACCTGAGGAGCAAAGGTTTGGGGCAGCCAGAGAGGCCACTCAGGAGAGCTCTGCCCTGGGCTGGCGGGCAGGTTTGCCCAGCTTCCTGGTCCAGCCTGGGATGATCCCGTGCCGGCTCTACTGCTCCCCACCGGGGACACCCCAGAAGTGACTAGACTTGGTGCAGGATCTCTGTTCCCCTCTCCCTGCTCCAGGGCTTAGAGGGCTTCTCATGCTAAGTACACTCTTGTGGAGGTGGCTGGGCCTGGAGCCTGAAGTCAGGGCTCCCTCCCAGTTTCCTCCCTTGGTCTTGGAAACCTAAGGAGACTGAGGTGGGAGTGGCACAGGTGCTCCCACTGTGGCTGCCCCAAACCTAGGCATCGCGGGCCCAGGGCATGGCCGGGGACCCCCAGGTAGAGGTGGGCTTTCTCTGAGTCCTTGCTTTGCTCTTCTCCTCAGTGCCGTGGGTTGCGCCTGAGTTTCAGGAGTGGGAGATTCAGGATGACAGTGCTCTCCAGTGCTTTTCTCACTCAGCTCTCTTGACTCTGAGACCCTCTCTCCTCTCTTCCACGGCAGAAGCCTCAGGGATTTCTCTCTCTAATGGGAGAATTCTAAGCCCCACCAGAGGATGGCACACACCTCCCTCACAGTCCCTGTGTCAGGGCCTTGCACTTTTTGAGCTGATTTTTTTTTTTCCTGGGCTCATATCACTCTCCTGAGCTGCAGTTCAAACCTATTTTTCTCCTGCTCTGAATTCAGAAAATAGGGAGTGTGGCCCATCTATATTCCCCCCAACTCCAACCTCTCAGCAAAGGGAAAGCTTCAGTCAAGAGGGGAGCAACAGAAGAGAGGCTCTGAAGTTCTCTCTCTCTCACTTACTTTCTTATGTCCTTCCTTCACCTCTGGATTCTTCTCCTTTTGCCCCTTCCCCTAGCCTAGACAGTATCTCCCCATTAGGAAAGTAAAATAACAACAGAACAGCCAGCTTATCTCTATCTGTAACTAAGAGGACTTGGGAGGAGTTGGAGGTAGCCAGGAAGGGGCTGGGGAATGATGGAGTAGGAGCTGTCTCCTCTGGGATCTTTCTTAAGATAGCTGAGCAGAGAGGAAGGGGAAGATGAATTGATGGTCATCTCTCAGCTGTCTTAGGAATCACCAGGCTCACTCTTCTCAAGACTGTCCCACTGTGACCCCACCCGCCAACGAGGCAGTCTGGGGAGAGAGGAGGAAACTCCTGTTGCCCCTTCTTGTTTGCTCCCTGGCAGTGAGAACCACCCCTACTTAGCTTTCCCTCCCTGCACCCTCCCCTCTCCACCTCCTCCACCCCCTCAGCACATTCCTGCCTGACAGCTCTGGCTTGTACCTGCCTCACTGCTGTCCACCTTGTTTCAATCAAGTAGGGGGCAGGGAAGTGGACTGCTTGGCTGCACTTGTGAGGGGCTGGGGGCTGGGAGTGATGGGAGGAAGGGGGCTGGGAGCCTCCACTTGATGCTCCTTCCGAAGCACAGGGAGGCAGCCAGGGCCTCCTCTTGGGCCTCTGCGTTCCTTCTCTGCCCTCTCCTCTGGGACTCCTGCATGCCGATAGCCAGGTGACCATCCCCCACCTCCCTCCTAAACAGAGACCTGTGCTGTCAACAATGGGGGCTGTGACAGCAAGTGCCATGATGCAGCGACGGGCGTCCACTGCAGCTGCCCCGTGGGCTTCATGCTGCAGGCAGACAGGAAGACCTGCAAAGGTAAGGGTTTTCAGAGAACAGGAGTGTAAAGATAAGGAGCTGAGACTGCGACCAGAGACAGGGTACCTCATCATGGGACCTCCTCAACCCCCAGAAGTTATCCTGACTCTAAAGAACTGAGTCTGTGACGAAGGCTTGTCTCCTGTCTGCCTTCCCCATCTCAGTCCAAGGGACACAAAGTCCAGCCAGTTCCTTAGCACCCCTGCCCCGCTTTATCTTCCTTACTCTCATTCCTATTCTCCCTGCGTGTCCCTAACCCTCTTGGTTAATGAACATGCTGTTCACATTTGTTCCTGGGTCTAGAAGGGTGTTTGCGCCCTGATTATGTATGCACAAGGTCACAGGTGTGTTCCTTCTTAGCCCACATTCCCCAGACCTTCCCCGTAGAAAGGCTCTCCTGGTCAGAGGGAGATTAGGGGAGCATTTGGGAGCCCTGACGTTAGAGCCTGGCTCCCTGGGTCCAGATTCCAGCTCGGCTTCTTATTACCTCTGTGATCCTGGGCTAGTTCCTTAGTATCTCTGTGCTTCAGTTTCACCACAGTAAAGGTGCAGTGCCTCACAGAAATGCTACAAGGATTAAACGAGTTACATATAAACTACATGCGAAGTCTTAGAACAGTGCCTGCAAATGGTAGACACTGTGTTAGCTACTATTATGATAGGATTTCCCACATCGTCCATTCTATTTCCCTCTCCTTTTAATTAGCCAGGTTTAGGGGAAAGGTGGAATGGGGAGGAAAACGGAGCGGGGGTGGCCATACTGAAAATAATGATTCATCAGATCTGTGTCCCTCGGTCGCAAGGTGGAGGGACTGGAGGAAGGCTGGGCGCCTTTGTGCCTTTCAGTTTAGCAGCTGGCAAACAGACCAGGGAGGAGGCTGGGCTGGGCTGGGGTGGGGGCGTATGTGGCTGGGGCAGCAGGTCAGACAGCCAGGGTTGAGAAGTTTGCTGCTAGGAAGGACTGCTGACAGGTATGCTGAGAGTAAAGTGGAAGACTGCCCTCTCTGCCCCCCTCCCCCAAGTCAGGGTGAGTAGCCTGGGTCCTGTCTGCCACCAGCTTGGGGAACTTGACCTCAGGAAGGAAGCCACTCACACGCCCCCTCCTTCCCTTCTCAGTGCTGAAAGCTGCCTCAGGCCTGAGTCTCTCCAGACCTCCCTGGTCCACCCCCTGCCTGGCCCCTGCCCTCCCCCAGCAGCTCCCCAGTCTCACTGGCTTTCCTGGAGGTCCTCCCGCCTGGCCTCTCTTCCAGCTCCTCCTTTCTGACACGCTGCCCCTTTGGGTCTCCACCTCTTTGCCACCCCCGCCTGCGAAGGCTCTTACGGCAGGCAGGGGTGGGGGAGAGTGAAGGGATAAACCCTGTCCACCAGCTTTTTTGGAGTGGGGCCATCAACGGCAGAATGAGGGGGCAGAAACTAGCCCTGTAGGTCAGATGCCCACCTACTTCTAGGCCACTCCCTGAGCGTCTGACACCAGTTCCCATCTCTCCCATTCTAAGACCCAAGAAACAAGGTGTTAGTAACGGCCACAGACATCCTGAAGAGGGAAGGAACAGATGGGAGGGAAAAAGGAGCAGAGGCAGACCCGGGCTCTCTGTCTCTGCAAGGGAGGGAGGGAGGCGCTGGTCTCCTTATTTGTCCCCAGCCTTCAGTATTACCTTTGGTTCTATTTTGTCCTGCTTCCCCAGACATAGATGAGTGCCGCTTGAACAACGGGGGCTGTGACCACATTTGCCGCAACACGGTGGGCAGCTTCGAATGCAGCTGCAAGAAGGGCTATAAGCTTCTCATCAACGAGAGGAACTGCCAGGGTGAGCAGACCTGGGCCAAGGGAAAAGCCTCTGGAGAGTTTCTAGGGTAGGAGAGCTTCACAGAGGCCAGAGGGCCAGAGTCTGAGATGCTCAAACGACACTGTGGGGAGTCTCCATAGGCAGTGTCATGCTGTGACCTAGCAAATGTGCTCCTTCCCCTTGGCAAACTGGCCCTTCTGGGGTACATGGCTCAACAAGGAGGGAGGGGTGGATTTCACCCCAGTTCACATCCTTGGCAGAATCCGACCAGCCTAACCACACATGGCAGCCCTAATCCACAGGCACAGATCTCAAAGTTCCTGACTTCAAAGACTCCAAGTGGAGGGGCTTAGGGGGGTGGGTAGGCATTGCTGAGTCACTGATCTTAGGGCTGGGCCAGAGGTAGGAACTCTTCAGTTTGAGGGAGAGAGCCAAGGCCCTCCCTGGGGCCCTTCACCTGAGCAAGGAGTCACAGGGTCAAGTGGCCTCAAGACAGAAGCAGTGGCTTGAAACCTTGCTCTTCCAGATATAGACGAGTGTTCCTTTGATCGGACCTGTGACCATATCTGTGTGAACACGCCAGGGAGCTTCCAGTGCCTCTGCCGTCATGGCTACCTCCTGTATGGCGTCACCCACTGTGGGGGTAAGCCGGCACCTCTGACCCTCAGCCCTTCACCTCCTCGCCTTTCAGCTGAACACGCCCCTGAGGTGGCTTGTGTCTGTGGGCGGTCCCCAGGGGCATTTACCATGTCTACATCCATCATGAGGAAATGGGAGAAATGAAGACAGTAGAGACATTGGGGTATCAGGGAACAGCATCCTGTTTCCAAAATTTCTATCTCCCATCCCCATCACTGCCCCTTGCCTCCCATCCTTAGCCCCCAGATTACAACTCCTCTGCTAGGTAGGCATGGAAAGCTTTAAAAATTTTGTTAGTTTGGCTCCTCTCAGTCCTTCTTTGGACTGAGAACAGAGACAAGGGAAGAAGGTCCTAGGTTTGAACTCTTCTCAGACTGGGAATCATCTTAGGGTACCTGGAACTCTAACCAAAGGCCCCCCACTCACTGCCCACATCCTGGCTCCTACTCCCCCCGCCCCCCATTGTCTGTGTCTCCCGCCTCCTTCCCCCAGATGTGGATGAGTGCAGCATCAACCGAGGAGGCTGCCGCTTTGGCTGCGTCAACACTCCTGGCAGCTACCAGTGTACCTGCCCAGCAGGCCAGGGCCGGCTGCACTGGAACGGGAAAGACTGCACAGGTGGGCGGCGCCCTCTGCTGGCTGAAGCTTGCACTGCAGTTTCAGGGTAGGGGGTTGCTGGGGTCCTGGAAATCGTGGAGTTAGGGTATGACGGAGTCGGGGATGGAGAATGTGGCCATTTGAGACATGGAGTTCCCGGTAAATAACTCCTTTGTCCATTTCCATGTACAACTGCAATTCTGCATGTAGCTCATTCTCTTCCTCCAACTACACACCTGACTGACAGACTAGAGCGGGTAGCAGAGGAAGAGCCTCTCTTCCTCAGGCTTCTCTCCCCTTCCTAGAGCCAGTGAAGTGTCAGAGCAGTCCTGGTGCCTCAAAAGCCATGCTCAGCTGCAACCGGTCTGGGAAGAAGGACACCTGTGCCCTGACCTGCCCATCCCGGGCCCGGTTTTTGCCAGGTACGTAGAGGAGGTTGCTGGAGGGCTGGCAGAGAGGAATGCTGGCTGTTTAGGCAGCTCCTCTGCTTCCCTTGGATTCCTTCAACCAGTGAGGGAAGGGGGCAGGTCAGAGCTGTGACAGCTCCCTTCTCTCAGAGTCAGAGAATGGCTTCACCGTGAGCTGTGGCATCCCCAGCCCCAGGGCTGCTCCAGCCCGAGCTAGCCATGCGGGAAACAGCACGAACTCCAACCACTGCCATGGTGAGCACCAGCCCAGATGCCTTGTCTCATGCTACTCTCTGGCTTATTAACCCCGATTTCCCTTCCTTACTAAGCCTCCTGGCCTTACTTTTTCCTGGATCCCCTTCTTTACTATTTGTCCAGCCCTGCTGCCTTGCTCCCTCTGCCCTTGACATCTGATGCTCTTGGCTTTCGTAACCCCTCTCCTCTGGCCAAGACCCCAGCCCCAGCTTCCCAATACCCTCTATGGCCGCCCCCACCCTCACGGGGCCCCCAGGCTGTGCTGAGCTTCTGCCATCCCTCTAGAGGCTGCAGTGCTGACGGTTAAACAGCGGGCTTCCTTCAAGATCAAAGACGCCAAGTGCCATTTGCACCTGCGAAACAAAGGCAAAACAGAAGAGACTAGCAGAATCACAGGGCCAGGTCTGGACTGGGGACCCCACTCCAGTGGGCTATCTGGCCACCAAACCTTCCCACCCCTCAACTCCTCAGCTTAGTGAGAGCTCCAAAAACCCACTGACACCCTGAATTCTGGACAGAGCAGGGGAAGAAGAGGTTGCAGGTGGAGGATCCAAGGAAGTCCTAGGATATTCCCCACCACTATCCTAGACCAAAAGGAAAGTCGAAGATCTGATGAGATCTGTCTGGGTTGGGATAGAAAAATGAAAGCCAGGAGTGAGAACACGGTCTCCAGGGCGTGCCCCTGAAGTTGACAAGGCCTCTTCCCTAGGTGGCGCCCCCTGCTCTGACTGCCAGGTCACCTTCATCCACCTCAAATGTGACTCCTCTCGGAAGGGCAAGGGCCGGCGGGCCCGGACCCCTCCAGGCAAGGAAGTCACTCGGCTCACTCTGGAACTGGAGGCAGAAGTCAGGGCCGAAGAGACCACAGGTGGGACTGGGGACACCATTGGGAGGAGGATGGAAAGGGGAGGGCAAAGGTGGGCAAACAGCAGGTCTCGGCAGTGAAAGGAAAGGGCAGAGCCTGCCTAAAGCTAAGCCGAGGACCCAGTCCTCTCCCCATGCCCCTCCCAGCTCCTCGCTTTGCTCCCTCGCCCTCCTGCTCACAACCACTCTCTCTTTCTTCTCCAACTCACAACACCATCCATCACCAGCTAGCTGTGGGCTGCCCTGCCTCCGACAGCGGATGGAACGGCGGCTAAAAGGATCCCTGAAGATGCTTAGAAAATCCATCAACCAGGACCGCTTCCTACTGCGCCTGGCAGGCCTCGATTATGAGCTGGCCCACAAACCAGGCCCAGCGGCTGGGGAGCGAGTTGAACCAGTGGAGGCCTGCAGGCCTGGGCAGCACCGCTCTGGGGCCAAGTGTGGTAAGGGAGCTGCTGGGGAGCGGGGAGTAGGGAAGGCTCAGCTTGGGTCTGGTTCAGAGCAGGACACTTTACATCTCTCAAGGTGTGAGGCAAGACCAAGACCCTCCTGCCCATCATCCTCCCCTCCTTGGTACCAGACTGAGATCTAGAGGGCCATCATGTGGAGCTACCAACCCCTGCACATGGCTTTGGCCCCTGAGCCTCCCAAGCAGGATTCTGTCTGTCCCCAGACCAAGAGATTCTCCTTGAATCTGGGGGAGAGGGTAGGGGAGCCCCAGACCCGGGTGGTGGGAAATAGGTGGGGGTGGGTGGCTAGCGCGGCCGACTCTCCCTCAGTCAGCTGCCCGCAGGGAACGTATTACCACGGCCAGACGGAGCAGTGTGTGCCATGCCCAGCGGGCACCTTCCAGGAGAGAGAAGGGCAGCTCTCCTGCGACCTTTGCCCTGGGAGTGATGCCCACGGGCCTCTTGGAGCCACCAACGTCACCACATGTGCAGGTGCCAGGGGAACAAACAATACAGAGTGGGGTAGGGTGGGCACTGGGACGCCCATGGGCATGGGACTTCCCAAGGGCAGGCCCAGGCTCCAGGCCACTCTCCTCGTCAACGTCCTATCTGTGTGTGCCTCTGTCCCCTGAGACTGGGTGACCCTGTGGGGATAACCAGGACCACACCCATCAGAGTTGGGCCCTTGGCTCATTGCAGGTCAGTGCTCACCTGGCCAACACTCTGCAGATGGGTTCAAGCCCTGCCAGCCGTGCCCACGTGGCACCTACCAACCTGAAGCAGGACGGACCCTGTGCTTCCCGTGCGGTGGAGGCCTCACCACTAAGCACGAGGGAGCCATCTCCTTCCAAGACTGTGACACCAAGGGTGAGTGGGCTACTCACCCTGGTAGGATCCCCAGCCCCAACTACCTCCCAAACTCTCTCCAGGTCCCCAGAGTAGACCCAAGTATGCTGCCTACCATCTTCTCCAAGCCACTAAAGGCCCAGGTGCATGACCAACCCCACCATCCTACTCACAGGACCCATCCTGACCCTCCACCTGTCCCAAGCCTGGGAACTGGGGAATACGTAACAGTTCCACTTAACCCTCTGCTTTGGAAAAGTGGTGCCACATTCCCCTCAAAGCTACAAACAAGTTCCTCTATAGGTGTGTGGCTGTGCTAGTGCCGGAAAGAACAGGACTGACACTGTAATCAACCACTCTGTCTAGTTTGTTTTCTCCTGGGCTTCAGTTCTGCCATGATTAGGGAAGGCTGGGACTCCAGAAGGAACTCTGGTGTCTTTTGTTTATTCTCTATGATGAACGTGTCCCTGCCCCAGAATTCCTGCTTGCCTGCCATTTTAACCCCTGCTCCTCCGCCCTGCCTGCAGTCCAGTGCTCCCCTGGGCACTACTACAACACCAGCATCCACCGCTGTATCCGCTGCGCCATGGGCTCCTATCAGCCTGACTTCCGTCAGAACTTCTGCACCCGCTGTCCAGGAAACACAAGCACTGACTTTGATGGCTCCACCAGTGTGACCCAGTGCAAGAGTATGTGGCAGGCCAGGCAGTGGAAAATGGGGTGGAGAGGCCTGGGAGCAGTGGGCATGGGAAGAAGTGGGAGGTGGGCAGGGTAGTGAACCAGCATGGAGCAGGGCTAGGGGGTGGATAAGCAGACCAGTCCCACCCTCCCTCTCTTCCCAGCCCACCCACACTCAAGTTCAACAACAGTGTTGGACTGGGCCCTGAAGTGCCCTCTCCCTGGAGGGGAAGGAGACAGGTAGTAGGGAGGTACGGACAGGTAAAGTGAGGCAAGAAGGTACTAAAAGGGCAGGAAGGAAGGGGAACCCAGAACTTGGAGGAGATGATGAACTCCTTGTGTCTGATTTCCACTTCAGAACTCTTCAATTTCCCCAACCTGTTTACCCACTGATTTCCCTTCTCTTTCTTGCTTTGTCCACTGGGCTTGGCTACAGATCGCCAGTGTGGTGGGGAGCTGGGTGAGTTCACTGGCTATATCGAGTCCCCCAACTACCCAGGCAACTACCCAGCTGGTGTGGAGTGCGTCTGGAACATCAACCCCCCACCCAAGCGCAAGATTCTTATCGTGGTACCCGAGATCTTCCTGCCATCTGAGGACGAGTGTGGGGACGTCCTCGTCATGAGAAAGAACTGTGGGTGGCTGCAGAGCTGGGCCAGGGAAGGGCAGTCCATATCTGGTTGGGGGCAGGAGAGAGAAAATTGGTGGTGAAAGAATTGGGGCAATGATGAGTAAGGCCTTGGGAGCAAAGGAAAATAGCAATGAATGCTACATGTCCAATGGAGGGCAGAGTTAAGAAAGCCAGCTTTGGGAGAATTCCAATAGTGTTACATGTGTTACTTTCCTATTCTAGTATTTTTGCAATTCCATCCATTTAAATGTTAAATTTTTCACACTGTGTGAGTGCCTGGCTGTCAAAGAACAAGCCCAGGGCCATGAGAAAGGATATGTGTATGGGTGTATGGAGGGGGCTAGGGGAGTTACACATATGAGGGAGGCCTCTGTCAGCCTGAGTCCTCGCTCTAGGAGGACTGGGGGAGCTTGCCCTGCTCTCTCCTGACCTGCTGCTTACTTTCTCAGCCTCCCCATCCTCCATTACCACCTATGAGACCTGCCAGACCTATGAGCGCCCCATCGCCTTCACAGCCCGCTCTAGGAAGCTCTGGATCAACTTCAAGACAAGTGAAGCCAACAGCGCCCGTGGCTTCCAGATCCCCTATGTTACCTATGATGGTGAGCAAAGGCAGGAAAGCCAGGGAGGTGGGTGAGGAAGGGGCGGTTCCAGGGTCTCAAAGGGAGGAGGAAGAGTTCTCACTCATCAGTCCCTCCCCTTCACGGACTTTGCAGAGGACTACGAGCAGCTGGTAGAAGACATTGTTCGAGATGGCCGGCTCTATGCATCTGAAAACCACCAGGAAATTTTAAAGGCGAGTGAATATTATCAATAATGACAGCCAGTGTTTAATGAGCATGTAACAATGGGCAGGCAATATGCTAAGTGCTTACTTGAATATTCTCTTTGATATACACAACAGGTCTATGGAGTAGATACTTGCATCATTCCTAGTAAAAAGCCTTTCATCTTGACCAATGAGAAAGCTGAGGCACAGAGAATTAGAGGACGTGCCCCAGTGGTAAAGCTGGAATTTGAGCCTAAACCCATCTGACTGCAGTGTCAGCCATACTGTCTTACACTCTGGGGGAAGAGAAGGGGAAGATGAGGAGATGAAATGTCTTCTGCCTTTTCCACCAAGAAATATACGGAAACTGAGGTTTAGAAAGATGCTTTTGGCATTTCCCTGGCAGGGAGCTCCCTCCTCAGTTGGCAGAGAAAAACAGTGCTCCTGTTCAGCGTTTCTCAGGGTTAATTCAGTATAGACCTCTTTTAAAGGAAAAGAAATGTTTCCAACATTGAAGGGTGGTCTGGATACTCAGATCCATGGATCCCAGTTTGAGAATATCTTACTGAAGAAACTATAGTCCTAGTCACAGTATTATCCTTTATAAACTACCAATGCAAAAATAATGTTATTTTATAATAAATAAAATAATTTTTTATTATCAAAATGAGACACAATGACAAAAATCTCCTAGAACTGGCTGACTGCAAAGAATATTTCAGCTATGCTTCTCAAAAATTTTTAGAGCATCTGAATCCTTATTTCAAATGCGCTGTGAACTCCAATGCATAAAGCAGAGGTACCATTTTGATTAAAGTCGAGATGAGAGGCTGGAAGCTCCACCTCCTGTTTTAAAAAATCTCCTGATGCAATGTGAAGAACACTAGCTCAAAAGCCAGAAGAGCTGAGTCCTAATGCACAGTGCTTGGCACCCAGTAGGCTCTCCACACATGATATTGCTGTTTCAGACAGGGTGGTCAGGAAAGGCCGCTGAGAAGAGACCTGAATGAGGTAAAAGGCTACCTATTAGAAGATCAAGAGAGGATCATTCCAAGCTCAGGAGCATGGGAGCAATACAGCATGTTCAAGAACCTTGAGGCCAGTGTGGCTCAGCAGAGCAAGGAAGAATCAAGGGGGGGATACGCGAAAGACAACAGGGCACAGATCACATCCCACTGATGGGGCATGCAAGGGATTCAGCTTTACTGAGTCATAAAGAAACCAGAGAAGTGTTTAGAATAGAAAAAGGACATGATCTAAGTAAAAACAAAAAGTCATTCTGCTGCTGCTGGAGGTAGGGAGAAAGAACAGTCTGTAGAAGGACAAAAGTAGGTGGAAGTACAGAGACCAGTTAGGAAGCCATTGCCAAATGAGATGATGGTCTTGGACAGGGTGGTAGCTGTGGAGATAGTGAGAAGCGGTCGGACCCTGGATATATTTAAAGGTATATATTTAAAGGTAGAATCAACAGGTTTTGCTGTGGTTGTGAGTAAGAGAGAGGAGTCAAGGATGGCTCCAAAGACTGCGACTAAGCAATGGAAGGATGGAACTGCCACTGACTAGAGTTGTAGGATTCTAAGGAGCAACAGATGGTGGGATGGGATCCAGAGTTCACTTCTGGATATGCCTACTAAGCATCAAGAGGGGCTGCTGCTGGGTAGAGGCCGGTGGTCCATTTTCCCACCCACTGACACTGATGCTGATATTGCCACTTGCCATCCTCTGCAGGACAAGAAGCTCATTAAGGCCTTCTTCGAGGTGCTGGCCCACCCCCAGAACTACTTCAAGTACACAGAGAAGCACAAGGAGATGCTGCCGAAGTCCTTCATCAAGCTGCTCCGCTCCAAAGTTTCCAGCTTCCTGAGGCCCTACAAATAGTGCCCCAGGCCCAAGACCCAGGTTTCGAAGCCCCCACCCTCAGATGAGGGACTCCTTCTGATCTCTCTTTTTGGAGAGGAAAAAAAATCTCCATATAGACTAAGTGCTCTCCCTTTCTGTTCCTCTAGCTTCCTTTCCATGTCTCCTTTGGCCTCGCTCTTTGTCTTTACTTTCTCACTTCCTACATGTTCCTGAAAAAGCCATTCAGTGCTGGCTGTGTTCTCCCGAGGGGTGGAGGGATGGTATGCGGGTCCCCTCCCTAGCCACACTGCCCATTTCACCAGCCCACGTCCTCAGCCCTGTCAGCTTAGAAGGGTGCTCGAGGCCCACGAAGGAAGTGGGTCTACTGGGGGAGGGGGAGGAGGGGCTTCTGCTGTTAGAGGTTGTGCCTTGCTAGTCAGGAGCCAAAATGTCCCCTGACTGTGCCCCCCGCTCCCCCAGGGATATTCTAACAGCCCAGGGTTCTGCCAAAGAAGCCTTTGACTTACAGGCTTAATGCCAGCACTCGTCCTCTGGGACACCTGGTTTGAGCCCTGGACCGCCCACACAGTCAACTTTCCTGTCTATGTGCAGCTCCTCTCCTTCTTGGCCCATGTCTGTCTGGGGTCCAATGCATGAGGGCTTACAAAAGGCCCACACCACTGGCTAATGGACACCAACTGAATGAAGAAGAGCAGCAGGAATTACCATGTTGAATATGCCGCTGTTGCTCCCCGAGACAGACTCTCTCTGCAGCACAGAAACCAAGTTTTCAAGCATCGCCCAAAAAAGAAAACAAAAAGAAAATGTGTCCTTTAAAGGACTAGACTACAGAACAATTGGAAGCCAGCCTCAAACACTAATCCCTTTTCTTACTTGTCTTCTCTGGCCCAGCCATTCCCTTACTCCCACCTGAGTGCTCCATGGGGGAGCCCCACCCCCATGCTAAGTGTTGCCCTTAAAGAAACATGACTGCTGACCCAAGGCCAGTCTGGGCCTTGCCCCCAGAGTTGTCTTTCCCCTGCAGTCCTGGATGGCTTGTGGGCTCCACCAGAGAGGACCCCGCTCTGTAGCCAGCCCACAGCCACCTGCCTCTGGCCCCAGGCCATGGGCAGCAAGAGGAATGTGTGCACGTGGCGAGCCTTCTGCCCACCTTGTCCACATCTAATAAGTGCAATCATTTTGAGTCTTTCTATGTTGACTAGAGGGAGGGGTTTTTGTTTTCTGGTCTTGTTTTTTGTTTTTGTTTCTTTCTCCTCTATTAGAACCCTATTTATAGCTGCCCAAGAGAGAAGAGTGTATGTTTGGAGTGGAAGAAAAAAGGTTTTGAATCTCATGAACCTTGAGTGCTAGAGCATCTGATCTGTCTCTTCTCCGCCAGCAGAGACACCTGATGTGTAGAACCTGGTGGAGCAGTCAGGAGAGGGACCTGTGTTTGCCAAACCAATCCCACCATCCCTGTGCCTCCATGGATTCAGCATGGACCTCAAGATTGTAGAGGCCAATGGAAGTGGTCAGTGATCCTCCACCCCATGTAGGGAAAGCCTCCATCTTTTCCCTGCTCTCATCTGGTTTTCCCCTGATGTGCCTGTGGAAGAGGACCAGGACCAAACCCTGGGGACAGGCTGACTCAGGGCCCTGAGGCCAGAGACAAGGCTGTGGGAGCCAAGAATAGGACAGTTAGCCAGGCATGGAGTTGTCTGCCTGACCTTGGCCATTCTGCCTACCCCTGGTTGCCATTTCCTCTTGGAGCTGACTTCAAGCCTAGCTTCCTCAACTACTGCTTTTCAAAATGAAGAAGAATCAAGTCCATGCCCAAGTCCAGATCCTTCACACACTCCAACTTCAGTCACTGCTGCCTGTAAAATTATTTTCCATTTGCTCCTTCTAGTTCCCCCAAAGCTGTACCATACCCCTATTCAATCAAAAGCTAACAGTTGACTGCTAGGGCTCACTTCTAATGACTATCTCAAGCTATTGTTCCTCAAAGAGGCTCAATGGTAAATAAAGGAACCAGCATGTGCTCCCCTTTGCCCCACCATGACTCCCACCCCAACTCAGTAGCATTCACCAACCTTAGGCAATAGGTAACCAATGTCACAGCTAGATCCACTGACATCCGTTAGCCAACACCATGGCCTGGGGGTGGAGTATCTGGCTGCCTTTGTCTCTCTGGGCCAAAGATTCTGCTGTAGAGATACAAAATGGTTGCTTCCAAGCAGGTCATTTAGTAGAAGGATCCACACTTTGCAGGAAATGCCATGAAAATTGCTTTAACTAACTTTGACCATTCTCATTCTCCACTGGAAGCTAGGATAACTTTCTGATTCCTCTCTCCCTACCATTTTGCATCTCTCTCAAAGCCAGAGTGCTTCCCAATGCATGCCTTCAGGGCCTGGCTCCTTGCTCTCCTTTCCTTTCCTGTCACCCCATACACAGAAACACACTTCCTCTAACCGTTTATTCCATGGTTTCTGGGCATTACAAATGATTTCCACAGTATGGAAAGTACAGACCACCAAGCTTCTTAACTAATGTCAAGAGAGATCCTGGAGACCAGATGAAGACCTACTCATGTCCACCAAATTTGATTTATAATTTAGGTTGTCCAAGTTGGGAGTTAAGAATCCAGGCAAAGTTGCTTCTGTAGGCCCAGGGGAATGAAACAAAGAGTTAGTAGACTGAGGAGTCCACTTCCAGAGACTCTCTAGGCCTTTACAGGTCAGAAAAAGAGGTTTTTATCAGTGTAGGGAAGTAGGAAGATAGTGTAAATGGGAACCCTTCATGAGCAAGCCAGGAGGTATTTGTAGGGTCACAGTATTGACCCTGCATAACTGAGGCCTCATTTATCTTATTACAAAAACCTGTCCTGATTTGAGTCTATTCTTGCAAGGGCTCCAAGCACCAAGTGATGCATATCAGAAAGGCACGACTTCAGCAACATGGCAATCTCTTTTTACTTCTCTTCCTCCATCTTTTTGTATTATTGGGCCAGGCCCATTCCCAAAACCTAGAGGAACAAAGTCAGGAGAAAACTGATCAGAGCCTGGACTTGAACTGCCCTGCCCCAGGCCTACAAATTCCCAGAGGCTGACATCAAGCTGTGACTGCTCTGACTCCCTCAGGACTGGATTAGTTTGAGGTGTTGGAGGCTCAGATTCATTGCTGAAAGTTCAGTAATATAGCCCTGGTCTTTAGCCCTAATGAAAGCTTTCGTATCTGAGAAGTTCTCTCCATACACATGTTTGAGGTGACTGGAGATTAGGGGGCCATATCTCAAAATGTCAGAAAACATAGAGTGCTGAAACTTCTGTATTTGCTGCTTAACCTCAACATAACAGGCTCAAACTAGAGAAAGGGAGACAAAGTATAACTGAGCATAAGCAGAAAATAATGTTAACCTGCTTGGCTTCTTTCTTAAGCATTGTAAGAGAAAAGTGGAAGCAAACAACACAAGGATATCCTTAAATTTGATTTGTCTCAAAGGTAGCATACTCTGTCCTTGGGCCATTATTTGGACTAGGAACCCTCTACAAAAATATATAACAGGGACTAGAACCCCCAGTTCTGTTATCAGCTTATCTAGACAACACAGATTATAACCGTTTAGACAAACCGAAAACATTCTTCTGTGTGAGCTGAACTTAAGTTTCAGAAAATAATCATTACCATGTGGGAGGCTTTCGTTTTTAATGCAGAAGAAATCTCAAAGTATTTGTATTTATATCTACCTTCCACTGCTGCCGATATAGTAAGCATCTCCTACACAACAATAAATGATGCAGTTTATAGAGTATTTTGCACTTGGGGAAAAAAATGTATCTGAAGTTGTAAAAAGAAATGTTTGGATTTTGTATTGTCCTTTTTATAATTATTATTAAAATACTAAATAAAACTCCTCAGCCTGGCATCTTTTCCTATCTCAATAGTTTACCCTAGAGCTGAAAAAAGCTTTGAGGAGAAAATGTGTCTTCTGGCTTTCAGACAGGACTTATCCCAATTTTTCACTTATCCTTCTTATTCATAATGATTTTAGAATCTGAAAAGGCTTGTCTATTTTAAAAAGCAGTATCGAGAACTATCCTGAGTGCAAGAAATTTGGAGTATCATTGCTCATCATAGTATAGTCCCCAAAATCTAACCATAAGATTCTTCCCTAGCTGTCCAGTGCTTACGGCTTCACTTTTCAATGCAGGCAGTGCAGGTTCCATCCCTTAGCTCCCACATGCCTCAGGGCCAAAAGCCCAAAATGTAAAACAAAAGCAATATTGTAACAAATTCAATAAAGACTTTAAAGTGGTCCACATAAAAAACAACAAAAATCTAACCATGGTTCACCTTCCTAGTTTAGATGCCCCATCTCTAGCAAAGTACCAACACAGAGTCACCAAGGTTTTCTTTTTATGCAGTACACTCTTGGTCACAAACAATATTCTAAAATACAGATCATTAAGCCACTACCAACATTAGTACATAGGTCTTGGGAAAGTAACCTCTAATCTCTTAAAAATGAACAGTCTCAATTTCTAGGCTCAGAGATGATTGTTGCAATTATGTTCATGACATGAAATTTTATTGGATTTAACAGTTCCGTGATATAGCCATTAAAGAGGAACAAGGAAAAATCAACCCAATCAAAAACTATGCATCTAAAAAAACACACATCTATAAAGCACATGGGTGCATTCTATTCCACAGTTACTGAGCTCCTATTATGTGCCTATCATCGAGTATTAGGCTATCATAGCTGGATAATAATAGCCATGCTCAAGATCTGCATTCCTCATGTAAGACTGATTACAACTGACCTTTCCACATGGATCTGCCACAAGGAGAGAGAATCCAGTCTATTTGGTGATTATGAGTATAAATTAACTCAATGGCATTCTATTTCATACGTTAACTTCCTGTAAGTTTGATTCACACCTTTGTGTCGACTGACAAAAATCACATTTTTAGAACTGCAAAGCTGAGGACCATATCCAGGATCATAGTGAATGACTAAACCAACTTGGGGTCAT